CATTGTCATAGGGCAACATCTGTAGTAACTGTTAAATGTGAAACTATTTTGTTCTGTAAGGCTTCATCTTAAGTGAGAATAACAGCACAATTCGAAGAGCGTAGTCAATGTCACTGATCTGTGCATGTAGAAATTTTTGAAATGGTGTATCTTTGGCTATGTGTATTTTCACCAAAAAAATAAGAGGTTGAGAAGTTAGAGGGTTGATATGTTGTGGGGTTGTTAACTAATGTCATAAAACAACATGTGAACTTCTGTTTCATGAGAAACTATTTGTTCTATAAGCCTTCACCTAAAGTACAATAAAAAAAAATAAAATTTAAAAAAATAAATAAAATAGGGGGAAAAAAAAACACAGGTAAAAAAAATAAATAAATAAAATAACAAGTGCCTACTATCTAGAGAATGATTTCCTCTCCCTCTCCATTGGTCTATTTTTTATTTGGGTTGTCTTTTTATTGTTGACCTGTAGGAGTTCTTTATATATTTTGCATATTATACTCTTATCAGGTATACAGTTACCAAATATATCTCCCAGACTGTATGTTGTCTTTTCACTTTCTTGATAGTGTCCTTTGATGTATAAAAGGTTGTTTTTTTTTTAAATTTTGATACGGTCCAATTTATCTATTTTTTTTTCCTTTGTTGCTTGTGCTTTTGGTGTCATAACTAAGAAATCATTGTCAAAAACAATGTCTTGAAACTTTACCCCTATGTTGTATGCTAAGAGTTCTATGGGTTTAGTTCTTAGTCCTTGAATCCACTTTATTTTTATTTACTTTTTTGTATATGGTGTGAGCTATGGGCCCAACTTCATTCTTTTGTGTGTGGACATCCAGTTATCCCATGACCATTTGTTTAAGAGATTCTTTCCCCACTGAATGGACTTGGCATCCTTGTTGAAAATCAATTAGCCATAGATATATGATTTCTGGACTCTCAACTATATTCCATTGGTCTGTATGTCTATCCTTATACTAATAACACACTTTTTTTTTTTAGATTAATAATAAGAAAGTTACTTTATCTACAGCAGTATCAAAAAAGTAGACTTCAATACAGGGATATTTACAAAAATAAGTGGGGACATTTATTAAGATTAAAGGGTCAATTCTGCATGAAGATAAATCAATTTTAATTGTGTTAGAACACAATAACAGGGCTAATACCACACGGTTTCAATACTGTAGCTTTGTAGTACGTTTTTAAATCAGAAAGTGTGAGTCCTCCTACTTTGTTCTTTTTTTTTCAAGATTGTTTTGACTATTTGGGGTCCCTGGCAATTCCATGTGTATTTGAGGACTGGCATTTCCATTTCTGCAAAAAGACACTGGAATTTTGATAGGGATTGTGTTGAATCTGTAGATCACTTTGCATAGTACTGACATCTTAACAATATTAAGTCTTCTAATCCAGAAACATGATATGTCTTTCCATTTATTTAGGTCTTAATTTCTTTCAGCAATATTTTATAGTTTTTAGTATACAAGTCTTGCATCTGTCTGGTTAAATTTATTCCTAGGTATTTTATCTTTCAGATGCTAATGTAAACAGAATTGTTTTAATTTCCTTTTCAGATTGTTCACTGCTGGTGTATGGAAACAACAGAAACAACTGATTTTTGTTTGTTGACCTTGTACCCAGCCACTTTGTTTATTAGCTCTAGTAGCTTGTGGGTTCTTTGGGATTTTTAATATATAAGATCATCTGTGAAAAGAGATATTTTTGCATCTTCTTTTCTGATTATTTCCTTCTCTTCCTTAACTGCTCTATCTAGAACTTCCAGTACAATGTTGAATAGCAGTGGTAAAAGGAGTCATCCTTGTCTTGTTCCTGATCTGAGGGGAAAAGTATCCAGTCTTTCACCATTGAGTATGAAGTTCACAGTGGGTTTCTTCATTTTCTTTTGATATTTGTTTTGTTTAAAATGCATTAATGTGGTTCTACTTCCTGAACTTATACAATGAACATTCAAGAAAGAGTTATTCTTAAACTTTAATTTTTTTAAATTAAAAAATACCAAAAAGTATAAAGATTTAAAATAAAAAGGAAAATCAGTAACAGGCATTTCAAATTAAACAATTTTGCATCTCTGTCATGGAAACACGATAAGGGGAAACCTCTCAAAAGAAATCACCCATTAACAGTACTGGAAAAGTGGGTTTCTCACTGAACCTCAGATTCACAACTTGGCACACCCCTATACTTGGAAGTCTTGATTTTCCCTTACCTCATTTCACCAGCTCCTGACTTCAGCTTTCTCCTCAGCTCATCCACACGAGCTGCCACTTCCTCTGGACGAATCAAACCATTAACCACATGATTAAGGTGATTTTGGAAATCTTTAAGCTGCTTTTTTAACAGGTTATTGTCATCCTAAGGAGTGGGGTAAGATGCGGAAATAAAAGTTAACAAAATTTAAAACACATCCACACCTCCTTTGCCAGGAGACCAGAAGAACTGGATGGTGCCCAGTTACTGTTATTTAACATTTTGATCAAGGATTCTATAGCAGAATCCTGATAAAAAGGGGGAAAATGCAGAACAGAATTTCAAATTCTCATGGACTCCAGACTTTCTGGAGCCAAGGGGGCTAGATGAACTCCTGAAACTACTGCCCTGAGATAATCTTTAAAATTTACACCAAAAATATCCCTGAAGTCTTCTTAAAACGAAACAACAGTTTAGCTTAACTAGCATAAAATGTCTGCCTTGAGCATTATGCTCTTTAAGAACTATTTATATGGGATCAAAGTGACAACAGCAACTTGAAAGATTAGATAGGAACCTTAGGGAGCATTGAGTTTTTGTTAATGGGGGACGAACAACTCAGAAAAGGAAGGTGAGAATGATTGCACAACTCAAAAAATATAATCAATGTCACTGAATTGTACATGTAGAAACTGGTGTACTGGTGTATGTTTTGCTGTGTATATTCTCAACAACAACATAAACCTCACATACACACAGCCTGTATTACTTGTCATATGATAGTTTTATTTAACTTGCTTTACCACTTTTTAAAAAATCTTTTCTACTCAGTTGACAATGCCTTAGTCTACTGATCAATCTTAAAATAAAAGACATAAGTAGGCATTATGTCTTGTGAAGGGATGCAAAAAGAAGCATACAAAACTACCTATGAATGTCTTCATGAAAAAAATGACTAACTTGAATTTAAATAAGCCTGCAGATGTGACATAAGAACATTTTAATCGACACCACTGGGATGCAATCAGTAAAATCTAGAATATGGGAAACTCTACAGGACGAAGACCTGGCTTTCTTCAACACATAGTAAAAAAAAGAGAAAACCTATAAATTATAAAAGACTTAAGAGACAAGGTAAGTCAACTAGATGCAATGTGAGGGCCTTATTCGGATCCAGATTCCAACAAAATAATTGTAAAAAATTTATAAGATAATTTAGAAAATGTGAATACTAAACAAGGTATATGATGATATTAAAACCTGTTGCCATCCAGTCAATTCTGACTCATGGTGACCATTAGGGAATTATCATTTTAAGGTATAACAATCATATTATGTTTATGTTTTTTTCAAAGAAGGACCCCTGGTAGTGCAGTGGAGCCCTGGGGGCCTAGTGGTTAAGAGCTCAGCTGCTAACCAAAATATCAGCAGTTCGAATCTACTAGCTGCTTCTTGGAAACCCTACGGGGCAGTTCTACTCTGTCCTATAGGGTTGCTACAAGTCGGAATCGACTCAATGGCAAAAGGTTTGGTACTGCAGTGGTTAAAGCACTCGGCTGCAAAAATGTCGATGGTTTGAATCCACTAGCCACTCCTTGGGAGAAAGATGTGACAGTCTACTTCTGCAAAGATTACAGCCTTGGAAACACTAAGGAGCAGTTCTACTCTGTCCTTTAGTGCACTAGGGGTTGGAATCGACCTGATGGCAGCAGGTTTGGTTTGAGTTTTTTAAAAAGTTCCACTTTTTGAAGATATACACAATAGTACAGTATTTACAGATAAGATGTCTGGAATGTATTTCAAAATAATTCAGAAGTGTGAATAGGTGTGAGGGGTGGGGCATGGAAGGCCTTATAATGAAATAAGGTTGGCCATGTGTTGATAATTGCTGAAGCTGGGTGACAGATACCACCTAAGCTGGCTGAATGACTCATTATAGTATTTTCTCTACTTTGTATATGCTTGAGACTGTCCATAATTCGAACTAAAACAAAACACTTTTTCATAATATTCAGCTCAGTTGAAAAATGGAATATCTAATAATGAAGCTTCTAGGAGAGTTTGCAATTCTCTGTGGGAGTGTTTGTTATATGCCAGCATATTTTCACTCCTAATAAACTAGTGAACATATCTAGACCACAGGAATAAATTTAGACAATGACTCTTTCAAATAAAAAGAAAGTGCTAAAATTTCCCTAAACTGTAGCATTCCTAAAGTATTGATTGTATTCTACCCAAGAGATTAATTTAATTCAAACTCACTGTACCACTGTTAACTAAAAAGCAGAATTCAGAATTGTAGTGAACATGTTTTTAAGTGTCTGTCCCATCTGGAGCCCTCTTTCCTCTGAAGAGTCCCTGCCCGTTGCCTTGAGGTGGCCTATTTGTACTACTATCTAATCCTAGCCACAGGTGATCTGATCTACTGACTGGCCAAAAAACAGATTTTCTCTCTCTGTCTAAAATCTAAACCAAGATCCAGTACAGCAAATATGTAATGTAGTGTGTGCTGGACCTGTAAAGATGTGTCCGGTCAGGGCTGGGGCCGAGAAAGAAAGAGAAGGAAAAATGAGAATCATGTAGTTCCTAAAAACTGAGAGAGCGGCTCTAGTTCCTAGCAAGCTATCTCCTTTCTTGAGTTAATGTGAGTGGGTTTTGGTTCACTGCAACCAAATGATTTCTGACAGAGATACATGTATAGCGAGTTTAACTTGCGCTCTATTGCAGGAGGTTAGTAGGTCAAGTAACCAAAGGACCTAGTTCCCACTAAGGTAGTCTCACAGCACAGATCAGCATTCTGGAAGGCTGATTTCAGTTTCTATCTTGGAGGAGAAGGCCCATGAAGAATATATTTTAGTCCTTTTTCTGTAAGAGCTATGTATACTGAGGTGTTTTTGGGTGATATAAAAATGTATGAGATTTTCTTTAAAATTTCCAGAAAAAATAAAAAGTAGACTAAATGAAAGAATGGCAGAATGGTGACAACTGTTTAAGCTGGGTAAAAGATAAGTAGGGGTTCATAAGGCTATTCTATTTTTTTAATTATTTGAAAATTTCTATAAAATTAAAATCATGTAACAAAGACTCAATATACACACACAACACACCCAAGAATGGGGAAATGTACATCTTTCATGATATTTGCTTCAGAAGTTGAACTAACAGTAGTAAAAATTAAATTCTAGCGTATCAGATTTACTTGAACTTTGAGGGAAAATATTTAAGGTGTCAGGAGAAGAGGGAGACAATCTGGATGACTTAGTCTCATTTGTCATAAATCCCTTTCCTGGATTTTTGGAAGCCTTCCCCAAGACCATATAAACTCTGTCCCTTCATTTCTGACGAAGTATAACAGCTACCCTCAGCCAGCCAGTCAGGCCCTTCACCTCACAGATGGGACCCCTGAGAGCTGATCCAGGTACTCATTTGTTCTGGCACCTGTCCTCTTTAAGAGAGTTTAATTATCTGGAAAATACCGTCCACCTGCTTCTCCTGTAGCGCGTTAGGCAGGCTATTGTGACAATAGCCCTAAAAATGTTCTGTTAAAGAAAACCCCAACAAATGTAAAATGACTGCACAGCACTGTTTGAGAAGGGGATTGTGAAAACTCTGCATAATTAAGAAATCCTACTGCATGTAACCATTCTACTTAATTCCTGGACAACTACAAAGATATTTCAGTGGAACAAGAACGTACCAATCTGACAATTTTAGCTCAGTCTGGGGACAAAACTGCTTCTAAGAAAAATACAAAGTATTGATTTGGTCCATGAAGGTACACAGTAATACTCTGTACCTACCGTTGACACTGTCTCCATCTTTTTGCACCATCATACAACACAAAGGCTATTCCTGTTAAGAGGGTGGTCTCATATGGGAACAGAGGCTGTGGTGCTGCCCCAGCCAGAATTCCTTTTTTTCTAATTATTCAAGTTGCTTACTACATGTTAGAGTAGGCTATTAAGTGCTTGACTACAGATATCAACATCTTTGTGTGTCCCATGTAAGGGTATATTCTGATATAATCTCTACCTGCAGGTGTTTAAGTTGCGTGAAGAGCTCACTGTTTTCTTGTTTCTCTTCTTCTGACAACTGGTCTTTTCCGAGGGCATTCTCAAGGGCTTGCCTTTTCTTCTCAAGTTCTGCTTGTAGGGCTGATTGTTCTAACTAGTGCCATAGGAAACAATGATGTGAAATGTAAAATAGCAACAATTTATAATCTAAAAAGGCACAAATAAATTTACACACATCCATAATCCCTTGCTAACCACAGTTTTATAATAATAACAACAACTCAGTTTTATGTTTGTACTCCCAATTTAAAAACTTAAGATTTTTTCTCACATGCCCTCTTAAACTATTAATATTTAATGAAAAGTAAGCATCAGCATCAGCTCAGCCCAGAAACACCAACTCAAATCTCCAGGGTTGGTCCCAAGCCCCTACCTTTAAAAATTCTGTGAGTGACCCAACAATTACTACTCTCCTTTCCCTTAAACCAGTATTGTCAAAGTGTGATCCTCAAGTACCTGTATCAAAACTGCTTGGTGTACTTAATGAGTCAGAATCTCTAAGGAAGGGCTCAGGAACCTGCATTAAACAAGTTTCACAAGTGATTTTATTAACTAAAGTTAACCAATCAGAGATTTGCAGATCTGGAGATCAGAGAAAGAACTCTGTAATGCTGCGTACTCTCAATATGTGGTTTGAAGACCAGTCCTGGCAGTCCTGGACTTTGAACAGCTAGTGAATTTGTGAAAAAGCCAACTATTATACATTATGTTGAGACATATGAGGAAAAAATAAAAGACAATGGAAGTACACAGGACAATGCATTCGAAACTTGTAAGGGCTGGCTTGAAATTAAAAGAGAAGACTTTATCTGAAAGAAGATGTTATCCCGAAATTTTATTTACTATTATTTAAAAATATGTATTTAATGCCATTTTTAAAATTTTTTTCAATGCTGTTTTAATTATTGTCCCCCAACCTATTTCCTCAGACTTTGATTTTGCCAACTGTAGTTTCATAAAACATAGTACTCTTGAGAAATATAATTCTGACAACTGGCAAGTGATCACTTGATACCTGATAAGTAATATAAATGAACATAATTACTATGATAAGCTGGACCTATTTTTAGTTCCTTTTCTAATATGAATCCTCCTTCAAATGCATTCCTGGTATTCAAACTATCTTATTTTCTTTCATTTTCACCCAACAAGCACGTATTGACCCTTATTTTCTTTCATCTTCATCCAACAAGCACATACTGACCCAGGCATGAAGAAGACAGAAACAAGCAGATACAATCTGAGCATTCACCAAGCTCTGAGTCTATCTGGGGAGACAATCTAAAGAGATGATTACCATATAGAAAAACTGAAGTCGGGTACTGAACCTAGTATTTCAGCAGGCAGAAGGGGAAGGTCAGAGTGGGCTTCCTGGAGGAAGATACAGCCTATTTGGCTAACAGCCTAAAGAAAATTATATTTTTAATCTGATAAAAAATATGCTATTCTTTATCTGCTTATTCTGATGAAACGCATCTCAACTTCATTAGGCTCTCCAATCCCCACTGCATTCTCTCTCCTGTCTTTCTCCTTCCATGACGCATCATTTCAATCACTCTCTCAGCCATTGTCTTAACTGCTCAGCACTATTGCTTGGACACTAAATCTTCCTTCCTTGCACTTGTTCCTGGACTAACTACCTCTGCAGAAGAAAGTTAATGTCACTGGTCGGATTGGCACCACTATAAGTTTATGGTCATCAACCCCAGCTGAGCCCTCAATAAAAAACAAAACAAAACCCATTGTTGCAGAGTCGATTCCAACTCATAGCGACCCTACAGGACAGAGCAGAATTGCCCCAAAGGGTTTCCAAGAAGCAGCCAGTAGATTCAAACTGTCGACCTTTTGGTTAGCAGCCAAGCTCTTAACCACTGTGCCACTATGGCTCTGAGCCCTCAATAACACCCAGCAACCCTACTACATTATTTAGGTCCACTTAGCTCATATTCTCCAATATCTTTCTCCTTGTCCCTCAAACCTCCACCCTTCTCTTCTACCCATCTACCCTCCTCAGCTGATGGTCTTGTTCTTGCTTCTATTCACAGACAAAAAACAGCAACAGCCACCCATCAACTCCTTGTAGCCAAAGCCACAAGGTTTACCTACATCCATACTCTTCCTTTTCCGCTTCTTTCCTCATACAATGAAGGAGTTGTTTTTGCAATTCAAGGCTCACCTCTCCACATCTCAATTCTACTGCCTTCTGTCTTCTCAGGACCTTGCACCATTAATTATTCCATGTCTCATTACTTCAACCTTTCCCTTTCAACTGTCTTTCTCTGCCTATAAACATGTTTATGTCCCTCCCATCTTCATCCAAATTTTCTTTCAATTGCTTATTAATTTCAAGCTACTAGCCTCTTTTCTTCTCTTCCAGGTCAAACCCGTCTCCATCTCTTTACCTATTTTTTACTTCTCAACCCATTCCAAACTGGCTTCCATTCCTACCACTCCATAGACACTGTACTTTACAAGGCTACCAGTAATCTATGCATCACTAAGGACAATGGCCTTCATCCTGACAGAACATTCAAAAGCACCTAACTCTGCTGACCACTCCCCTCTTTAAAATAATCTCTTCCTTTGCCATCCAAAACACTACATTCTCCTGCTTTCCCTCCTCTCTCTTGGATCCCACCGTCTTGGTCTACTTTGTAAGCACTTTCTCTTTTTTTCCCCCTTATTTAAATGTTTCTGAGGGCTCTGTCCTAGGTTCTTTTTCATTCTACATACGCTGCTTGCATGGTCTCTTTATGGTCATGGTTGAATTTCTCATTTATATGCTGATGACTCCCAAATCTTTATCTCTGCCAAGGTCCCACTCTTGAGCTTCCAATCCACAGATCCTATGGTTGAGTTCTTTTTGGATGCCTTCATAGATACCTAAAGTGCACCCTGCTCATAGGGAATTCATTACCTTTCTGCCAAATCTATATCACCATGACTGTTCTTGCTTTTGGTTAATGGAACCACTGTCTACCCAGGTACTCAGGCCAGAAACCTGGGAAATATCCTTGACTCCTCCAGGTCCTGGCAATCCTACCTTCTCAACACCTTCCGAGCTTACCCACTTCTAGTCATACCCACTATTGCCATGCTGGTTCAAGCTTCTATCATCTCTCATTTGTATCATTGTATGGTCTTCTAAACAGACCTTCCTGTCCCCCATCTTGCTCATCTCCAATCCATTCTCCACTCAGCAACAAGAGTAATCTTTTCAAAAGCAGAAATTTTATTATGCCATGTCCTTGCTTCAAACTTTCCCTCTGTATTTAGAATAAAAACAGAATCCTTAACATGACCTTAATGGCCACTCAGGATCTGGCCTCTGCCCACCTCTCTGGCCTTTCTCTTTCACCCTCTTTCCCCACTCTCCTTGCTGCTGGCATACTGGAATCATCCTTTTAGCATCTCAAATACACTATGTTCTTTCTCCTTGCCTCTCTGCATAGAACACTCATCCTCTACTTTTCTAGCAGCTTTCACCTACAGGACTGTCAGCTGCACAAGGACAGTAACCATGGGTACACTGCTCCCTGCAGCATCCACAGCACCTGGCCCTCTGTGATCAATCAATAACTATTTATTGGATGAATAACTATTTTTCTAATTTGCAAGTATAATTTATATTAGTGGATATTTCATTCAACCATAATAGAAAATAGCAAAATAAAATTTTACATCAACTTAAAAGAAGTCTCTTAAAGCTATGCTGAGAATGACTACAACTTATTAAATATCAACTGCTAGGTGCTTTCATAGCCAATAACTCACTTAACCTCACCAAAACCCCTTTTACAAAGGAGAAACAGGCTCAGACCCATGAAGTGATCTGCTCAAGTTCACACAGGGATAGTATTCAAACTCAAAATATCTGACTCCAAAAATGTATCCTTCACCTGTGTGTGTCTATACATATATACATATGCATATATATACATGTGTATACATATACATATATATGTCATTGTTGTTAGGTGCTGTAGAGTCAATTTCAACTCATAGCAACCCCATTTGACAGAGAAGAACTGTGCCATAGGGTTTTCTTGGCTGTAATCTTTAACGAAGCAGATCACCAGGTCTTTCTCCCACAGAGCTTCTGGGCGGATTCAAACTGCCAACTTTTCAGTTAGCAGCCTAAACTTAACCATTTGGGTCACCAGGGCTCATACTCTATATATATAAAATAAATGTGTTCAATCTTAAATTAAGATATAACTGAAAAAAGGCTGATTTCTTAAGGTTACTTTGTTTCTGAGATGGCTTTTTGCTTCTACTTACCTGGCTAAGTCTTGTTAGTCTTTCCAACTCTTCCTTGAGCTGGCTGGCTTCAGCATCCCTCATTCTTAGCTGAGCCTCTAGCTCAGCCTCATAGGCACTGAGATCTCCCTGGGTCTGCTGCAGGGATACATTTATCTCATGCTGCTCCTGGAGGGCAGTTTCTAGCTCTGCAAGCTCCTGGAAAGATTTAGTGTATGTTTTAACTATGGAATCCTCATTGCCTGCTTAAACATCTGCAAGTTATTATAAGTAACTTGAGCACTATAGACCAAATGCTGGCCAACCATTGCTGGTCTGGCACAGAAAGTTTTCATTAGCTATATGATGAAGCCTCAGGCTGGGTATATCCAGTTTGGAAAACAAAACTCCGACTAAATGTAATCATAAAAATCAGAAAGCTACCAACCTGTAGTGTGATTCTTTAAATGAATCTGGATGTATAAGAAGGAAAAGGGAAGGCAAAAAAAAAAAGAGAGAGGGAAGATAAAATTTAAGGGCTTATTTTCCATCAGATATTGAACTAAATGTTTTCAAATTCATTATGTTATTGAATTGTCACAATAATGGTGCAAGGCAAGGTACTATTATCCTCATTCTATAGATGAGGAACCAGAGATGAAAGTTTTAGTAAATTGGAGGACACATGAATGTTCACTGAACTACTCTTTCAACTTTTCTGTAAGTGTAAACATTCTTATAACACAAAGATAAGGGAAAAAAGACCATTTCAAATGAAGCAGATTGGCAAACATGAATTTAATAACTATTCTGCATTTATGTTAGAAAACAAAATATTTAGAGGCAAAGGAGAATATGCCTATAACTAATTCTCAAATAGTTCAGAAAAAATTATATAAAAATGTATGTAAAATCATGTAAAAATTATATATAAGTGCAATAAAGCAAATGTGGCAAAATGTTAATTGGTGAATCTGGGTGAAGGGTATATGTGAGTTATCTGTATTATTCTTGCAACTCTTCTGTAAATTGGAAATTATTTCAAAATAAAAGCTTAAAAAAATAAAACAAAAGTTGGAAAACACTAAGGTATTGGGAAGGATGTGGTGTAATGGTAGCCCTCACATTGTTGATGGGAATAGAAATCGACAGAACCATTATGGACAGTAACTTGACAGTATCTAGTGAAACTGAGGATGCCCATAATCTCTGAATCAGAGTTCACTTCTGAATAAAGTCCCCATGGCCAAGACGTGTGCCAGAAGGTTACTCCCAGGATTGTTTGTAATAGCATAAGAGTGGAAAGCACCTAAATGTTCCCCAAGAGGAGAATAATAAATAATAAATTTTCATGTACATATAACGTAATACTATATAAATCAATAAAAATAAGTAAACTGGAGCTACATGTATGTACGTAATTCTCAAAAACAAATATGAAGGAAGAAAGGAAATAGCCAAAGAACATGTACATTATGATACCTTTTATATAAACTGTAAAATCATACAAAACACTATTACTTTGGGCTTAAGGATGGATACATATACAATAAAAAGAACAGAGATGCAAGAAAATGGTAACTACATTCAGGGCTTTGTTACCACTGGAAAGGGGCACACACAGAGTTTCATATATATTCACAGTGTTTTATTTCTTAAGCTAGGTTATAGGTACAAGCTGCTAAATATAATTTTTTATATGTCTGAGAAACTTTATAATATCAAAATATATTAATTCAGATTTCCAGAGCCAGCCTTATTGAGGACAATGTTTGGGAATCTGTGGTTCATGCATGACAAAGTTTGCCAAACAACTCTAACAGCACATGGAGTCTCCAAATGAATGGGCAATAAGTCAAATATAAAAAAAAACCCTTGCCATCAAGTTGACTCCAACTTGTATAGAAGGGTATGATTTATAACACTGTATTTGCCTTGTTAACTGTAAAATAATGTCAAAACTATCAAGTAATAACAGTAAGAATTAAAAAATACATGTTGTGCTTAATTTTGCTGCACAAATAATAAAATTTGGACATTTAATGGCTCATCTGTAATACCTACAATTTTATACTTGTATAAATAACTTACCAAACAACTTTGGAGTTATCTAATAACAATACCCTACAGAGATAAAAATTCAACTAAAATAATCCTCCTTTTCCTAGTAAAAGAAAAATGATTCCAAGTGCATCATAACTAAAGGAAAAGAAACAAAAAACCCACCAAACAGCCACTAATACTTTTCACCACTTGCATCACCGATAATCTCTTTTAACTAATTTAATTTGGGTACCATCTATATCTGAGGCTAAGGAAAATAGGCAAGAAGAAACAAATTATACCTTCCTCATATTTTCTGCATCCATGGCAACTATTTCCAGTTGGTTTCTTTCCTGCTCAACTTCTGTCAATCTCTGCAGCAATGCCTCTTTCTCGACCTGTAACTTCTTGCATTCATTCTGGGCCTGAGTTGCCTGGCCTTTGATACTCCCCAGGTATTCTTGTAAACCACTGATGACACCTTCTAAATCCTTCTTCAGAGCTTCATTTGCTGCTATCTGCCCTAAGTAAGATGGAAGAAGGGACAGTAGTAATGTTTACAAGAAAGTGATTTCAAGATATATAATTAGTGCACTTAATCTCCTTAGCTATTTGTTACAAGCTAGGGGTGAAATTCTAAGAGCTCAATTATTTCCTGGACCCACTATCTTATTTTTCTTTTCTGAGATGTAATGTTAATTTTTTATAGCACAAGAGGATCAACTAGGTATATGATAAAAACTGTATATTTAGAGGGAAATGCTTATAAAATACTTAATTCTATAAAAAAAGTTTAAAGTAATAATTTCCAAATAAAATAATAAAAAATGTACAGCAAAACTGAATTTTTACTGCTGGAGGCACAAAACAGAATCACTCAACGTCTAAAACTAATCCAGCACTGGTAGCACAAATATCTTAGCTGCAAACTTAAAAAAACAAACAAAAACTATGTATATATCTATCTATATATATGTATATATATATATATACACATACATATAGACATATATACACACACATATATGGTACCTACTATGTGTCAGGCACTTTATGAACACTATCTCATTTAAACCTCCCAAATGATGATCAGAATGGAAGCTGTCCAAATCACAAAGTGAACAATGGCAACACAGAGACAAGGACCTTTTTACAGAGAGCCTAAGCTCTCACCATTATAGCCTATTATCTTCTACTATTTTTGGAATGTCACAATTTTAATTTGCATTACAAAAGTTAATCTTAAAATTCTTTCTATACTCTTCTTATAATAAGACACTGAATGCCCTGAAGTCAGTGGGCTTTCTGCTCATGAAAGGATTTTATGCCACAAAAGAAAATCAGATGACAGAGCTTATCACTCTCATGTACAGTTGATCCTCATTGTTTGCGGATTCTGTAATTGTGAATTTGCCTGCTTGCTAAAATTTATTTGTAATCCCAAAATCAATACTTGTAGCACTTCTGTAGTCACTCACAGACATGTTACATGCACAGAGTGGCGAAAAATTTTAGTTGCTCAATGCGCATGTTCCCAGGTGAGGCTGAACAGGGAGATATTCTGCCTTCTTATTTCAGTTCTCATACTGTAAACAAGTGTCCTTTTCATGGTCTATTTAGTGCCACATTTTCCATATTTTTGTGCTCTTTGTTGCTGCCTTTGCTGTTTAAAATGGCCTCCAAGTGGAGTGCTGAAGTGCTGTCTAGTGTTTGCAAGCTCAAGAAGGATGTGATGTGCCTTACAAGAAAATACTTGTGTTACCTGAGCTTCCTTCAGGCATGTTACAGTACTGTTGGCTGTGGGTTCAATTAATCAACAATATACATTAAATAAGGTGTCTTCAAATAGAAACATACAAAAAAAAAAGGTTACATATTGATCAGTTGACAAAAAAATGTGACCAGAGGCTCACAGAAACCTAACCCTGTATTTCTGCTAGAAGCAATACAGTATTCACTAATTCTGAGTTAATGACCTAAGTTCACTAAGTAGAACTTTACTGGGAATAGTAAGAATCAAATGTATTGACATCTTGCTCACTGAATAGAATGACTTGATTCACAAGGACATCAATGCAACAAAACAAAACTAAAATAAGGATTTTAAAATTTTATTAAGCACTTTCGGGAACTTTGTAAATATTTCCGCTGCCAAATACTAACAGCTGAATTGTATTCAGCTAATATCTGGATTAATGCCTGTCTGGGTGTCATCTGTCTTTCATTAACACTAAAATTGATTTACCTTAACTTAAATTCTCACCTTCAGTAAGCTGTTGCTCAAGGTCCTTAATCTCTTCCGTTTCCTTAGCAATCCTAGAAAGTATCTCATCCAAACGGCTTTCAAGTTGTTTATACTGTTTGTTCATAACGTCAAGCTGTTGTTCTTTACCCCTTTTCTGAGCTGTCATATGGGACTGAATTGCAAAAAAAAAAATTTTAACAAAACCCCAAGATCTTTAAACTCTTCTAAAAATGATCATCCTTAACAATATTTTTAAAAGAAGACTAGAAAATAAAATTTAACAATTTGCATCTATTTTGGTTCAGGCCTTGTGTTGTTTTCACATGAGTAGTTTTCATTTAAACCTCATAACTTAATATGGGAATCATTTCCATTTCACAGAGGAGAAAACTTGAGGACCAGAGAGGTTAAATGATTTTTCCGAGGACACTGCTAGTAGGTAATATATAGCCAAGTTCAGTGCTCTTTGCATTGCACTAAAATGTGTCTTCTTAAAAAGCTTCTCAAAAAGTTAATTGATTATATATACACATATATCCATAGGAAAAAAAACTAAAAAACATATATTCCAAAATGTTAACAAGGATTACATCCGGGCAGAAAGATTACAGGAGATTTTTTTTTCTTTTTTCATAAGTTTTTTTTTTAATACTTAAAATTTTTTTTATAATAGACAAGTAATACCTTTTTAATAAAAAATATATTAAATGTACTTTAAAAAAGGTTTCTTAGGGAAAAATATTGAAACGTGAAATAAGTAAACATATACCTGGAATTCAAATCTGTACAAAGAAACATTTTGCTCTTAGATTTGATAATCTGGAACCTGAGAGGGACCTCAAAGATGATTTTGCCCAGTGATTAGTAAGATGATTTGCCCTAGGGCAGTAAACCCCTCTACTACTACACACGCTCCTAGTGGAAAACAGAGCTTACACACACCCACACACTCTCTCAAACCCTGGCAGTCATCACATTACTGAGCCACTGTTAATGAAAAGAGTGGACTGTATTCTTCAGGTGTGCTGGGAGAAAAAAATAAAAATCGCGAACCAACGATCTAGTCTAGCCATCTAATCCTTCATTTTACGTGTGAGAAAAGTGAATCTCAAATCCATCCAGTGAACTGCCTGGGTGTCCTTAGGCAACTGTTCATGTGGAGACAAAATAATTCCCCAGAGAACCTTTACCTTCCTGCTTACACCCCCGTGGCTATAGTTTGTCCCCACAGGTTCAGAGAACTAGAACAATAAACCAAGAAAAAGTTATCAGGAGAGAGACTGTTTTCACAGTCTGAACAATAAAACCTGAGGTTCTCAAGTCTAAGACCCATTTGATTACGAAAGAACATACCCCAATTTTACATGTCTGTTACCCCAAAGACAAGAAAGAGAAGTCTCATTTTTGAAGAACAAACAAATGACAGTTTGATAGGGATTTTCAAAACTTTTCTTGCCCCTACATTCCCAAAATATCCATCTGAAATCTTTCTGAAAAGGTAAAAACGCTTAAATTGAAAGTAAACTTAAGATTTTTATGGCTCAAGAAATAAGAAAACTATTGCACTCACATCAATATCACTAAATCTTTAACATGCACCATCAGAAATTCCATTGAAATCTCCTTATATGCAGGACAAAAATAAACTGGTTCAATATGCCAGTATTCTGCACTAAGCACATGGGAGCAAAAGTACATTCTGCGATCTTCACTACCATGCAGCTCACAAAAGAGTTATAAAAACAGGAACTTGCATCTCTGACTCCTCCTCCTTTTAAGTCCTTTGTTGAGCGAGAAAAAGAGAAAATGATCATACCTTAATTTAGAATTTGTCCTGTTAAAACTGGGCCATTGAGAACAGAGAAATTGTGGACGAAACGCTTTCTAACGCTGTCTTCAAATTCATGTGCACTTCCCTCTCTGACAGCCACATTTCTGTAAGCATTTCAGAGGCTCAGTAACCTCCCAGCACTTCAAACCACATTCCTGGCCAAGCGTGAGCTGCAGCCCAGCCTGCCAATCACAAGCAGCCTTTATAGGCAGACCCCACCCTCCATGCTTTAAATCATAACACAGCAAGCTCCCACGGGCCAATCACGTACAAACTTTGCAGCAGATCACTACTGGCTTAATTCTCTCTAGAGAACAGTTACCTTTTGCTTCTTTAGGGCATTTCCTGATAGGGAAGAACAATACAAATCTTCCTTTATTGTGTTCTATCCCATGATATCTGTGCTAGTTATCAAAATTTGTATAACTAAAATAAAATTTGATTTTTAAATGGTATCTTTTTGAAACCTAGTTAAATGCTGTTTGTTGAAAATTGACTAAGCTAGGGTCTGAGCTAACTGTAAAAATAATTAATCTCTTTAGACATTTAATCCCCTTGAGGGGAGGGGGTCATTGCAATACCATAAGCTTGGGTTTGCCTCTTCCTAAAAGGGTGACTTTGGGTGAATCATTTAATCTTTTTAATCACATTTTCATCCCCTGCAAATTGGGGGAAAAAAATATGTCACCAACCTCACTTGGATGCTATGATAAAAGTCTTCACTAGCATATGCAAAATAGCCAGCACAATGCAACGCACATTTATGGGCACTTAATATGTTTTTTTCCCCATCATATCTCTCATCAGTCATATGCTATTTTCTAATCTCTCAAGCTTTTACCTTTAAATTTTACTTGCTATTAAGAAAGATACTTCATCTGATTAGATTATAAAAGTTAACTAAATAAAAGTCTACCTACATCTATACAAACACATGTAGGAGATTCCACTCTTGATTTCTTTCCCTTGACCTAAAATGCTCATATTTTTTAAGCCTAAAACGGAGTGCCTGCCACTAGCCAATAAGGTGACTTTGTGCAAATTAGAAAAAGATGCTCCCTCTGGATGAATGAGTTAAAAAAACAAAAAAATGTCCTTTGGTGCTCAGATTAAGGCTGCAACCTTAAAAACGAATCTTTAGTAGTTTTAATAAAATCAAATAAATCTGGTTTATATGTGTCACTCCTACCAGCACAAATTCATTTTGGCTACCTTCAAAACTTGGATGCCATTCCTACTTGTCATTTAGCTCCTTTATATATGTAATTCTTTACCAAAATCCAGGGGAATTAAACTCACTGCCAAACGGAGCCCTGGTGGAGCAGTGGTAAAGAGCTGGGCTGCTAACCAAAAGGCTGGCAGTTCGAATCCACCAGTCACTCCCTAGAAACCTTACGGGGCAGTTCTACGCTGTCCTAGGTCACTATGAGTTAGAATCAACGTGATGGCAATGGGTTTGATTTTTTTTTTTTTTGGTCTGCCAAACATATCACAGTAATCTGTTGAAAGCAGACATATAATCCAGGTTCTAATTAGACTCATAGATCACAGAGCTGGAAGGAGCAGCAAAAGAGCTTTGGGTTGGGTTTTATAGGCAGGTTCCCTCCTACCTTTCCTGATGCAAGCATTCATGAACATACGACTGACCCCTGTGGATACAGATACCAGTAGGACACACTTCTTGCCCTCAGGGGTCTTATAAAGGATCGCAGACTTCTGAACAAATAAATGTAATTAAGTAAGGTATACTGACCATATTATAAATGACTTAAAATCTCTGATTTTTCATGTAACAAAAATTCCTTAAAACAATCAAGACTATTTCAGTGTCATTTTCTTTTTCAATTTTATTGTGATAAAATATATATAACAAATTTGCCATTTTTTGGTTTCAATTTTAATGCTAAGTTTTAGGCTTTTGTTGGAAAAGACCATGTCTGTGATGGTAAGGTTATCCTTTGTCAAAATTAGCTGGCCTACAACAAATATTTATGATACTTTACTAAACTATTTAAAGTACTGGTCTGATGGAGCCTGGAGGAAACCCTAAGACTATGGCCCCTGGATACTCTGCTAACCCAGAACTGAAACCACTCTTGAAGCCCACTTTTCAGACAAAGATTAGACAGGCCTATAAAACAAACAGTAACACACGTCAGGAATGCGCTTAATTCAACAAAATATCCGAGACCAAATGGGCAACTCTTGCCCAAAAGCAAGATGAGAAGGCAGGAAGGGACAGGAACTGGACAAATGGACACAGGGAAACCCAGGGTAGTAAGGCGGAGCATGCTGTCACAGTGTGGGGACTGCAACCAATCTCACAAAACAATATGTGTATAAATTTTTGAATGAGAAATTAACTTGAGCTGTAAACTTTCACCGAAACCATACACACAAAAAAATTTAAAGTACTTAAAGCAATTATAGTGCATTGTCCTTACCATGTTAAATTCTACGAATTCTCTTAATCCAGAGATCTTAAAGTTCTTTAAAAATATGTAACTTTATTATTCTAAGTAAGTAAAATATTTCAACTTCTATTTTACAAATATTAGCTAAAAGATAAACCATTAGGAAGACTTCTCAGGGTAGAGACAGAAACAGACAAGAGCCTGACCCCAACATCCAGCCACCTGACCATACCTGGCCACATTTCAAGCATGTATGCTCTAGAGAAATGTTTCCTTTTTAAGGACAAAACAAAACAAATTGAAACAACAACCAGCTTGAGTAGAATATTTGCATACAGACTCCATGAAGGATTAAAGAAAGGGTAGAGAAAGGATTCTGAACTTCCTTCAGCTCTCTCATCTCACCACTTTGCTTTTAACAAAAAAAGAAAAGAAGGCAAGATGAGAGAAAAGGTAAGAGATTTGGAGGGTATATTGGAGCAGTTTTTTCTTGCTCTAAAATACAGTAAAACCGAACCACTTAAAACAAGTATAGCATGCAAACATCATTATACTGAAAGCCACCACCTTCAAGCCCTAGGTTGCTTTGTTTTAGACACACAAACATATATATATATATACACACATACATATGTATCGCTCAAATTTGTGCATCAGACTGAAAGAGACTTTCAGAAAGGACACTGAGGCTAAAAATGATGAGACATGTAATGTTTAGATAGAATGATATTCTAGTCCCTGTAGAACAAGCCAGTATTTAATTTACTTACATGTTTTGAGTCTTTGGAATCCAGGCTATCTATGACTACTTGTAGATCCTTGATCTTCTTCTGCTTTTCAGCAATTTCTTGTCTTTGCTTTTCCATTTGCATTTCTAGATCCAGAGCTTCCTGGCGTAATTTATTTAGAAGTTGTATCCTACTACTCAACTGCTTGAAAAGAAGGTCTTTCTCTGCTTCTGAAATCTAACCTCCCCACACCCCGACACACAATTAATAGGGGATAGCAACACTGATTTACAAATTTAAAGAAAACAAAGTCTACAATTTAAACAGTATTCTATGCTCTATCAGTTTTCTAATAAAAGTAAAATGTGAGGTGTTATCTAGGCACTCTATTCATAGCTTATATTTTTATGCTTATTACATGCAGAAAATCTTACTTTATAAAAGTTTATGAAAACGAATAATGTAACAAGTACAAATGAAGTCTGTCATTCTAGCACAAGCAATTTGGAAATCATTGATAATAATAATATTAGTGATAAACCAGCGGCCATCAAGTTGATTCTGACTTACGGCGACCCCATGTGTAGCTGATTTATATAACACTTCCTAGGTGCTGGGCACTGTTCTAAGCTCTTTATATAATTTAATCCTCAAAACATATAAGGTAGAAAGTATGTTTATCCTAATTTTACAGATAAGGAAACTGAGTCATAGAAAATTTAAATAGCTTGCTCAAGGTCACATTATCAGTAGGTAGTGGAGCCCAGACTTAAACCTAGACAGTACAGCTCCAGACCATGTCCCTAATTACTACACTACGGTCTCCTAGCTAGTATGAATATTAAGATAGTCAAAAGAAGAAAAAAAAAAAAAAAGATAGTCAAGCAATAAATTCTGAGTAATAGTATGGAAGCAATAACTTTAATACCTATCTCCTATTTCTAGCAGTTTTTAGCATAGAAATTTATACAAATGTAGAAATGTGTCTCAAAAATCTATATAAAACTGCAAAAAAAGCAAAAACAAAAAAAACAAAACAAGGATGCAGAAAAAAGATTGGAAAGAAATTAAATATAATACTGATAATGACTGTCTGCAAGTGATGGGACTGTTGGTGTTTCTTGACCCTTTTTTAAACTCTTCTATACTTCCAAAAAGGAGCCCTGGTGGCCAAGTGGTTAAGGGCTCAGCTGCTAACCGAATGGTCAGTGGTTTAAACTCTGCCAGCCACTACGCAGGAGAGAGATGTGACAGTGTGCTTCCATAAAGATTACAGCCTCAGAAACCCTATGGGGCAGTTCTACTCTGTTCTACGGGGTCACTATGAATCAAAACCAACTTGACAGCAACAAGTTTGTATCTTCAAAATCCTTCCCATAATCACAGTACCTTTATAATCAGAAAAAAAAAATTTAAAAATTTCTGTTGACTGGTAATATCTCACACTTTAGAACTGTAAATTATAGCACACTCTCATGTTGAGCAAATTAACAGTGTAAAGAAAAAGTTAGGTATTGAAAAGAATTATTTTTTTCCAAGCACATTTCATAAGCATCATTTATTTCAAAATTACATACATTATTTAACCTATCAATCCATCTCTATAAAGCTTTGGCCAATGCTATTATAAAGCATTCTTATTTAATCATTAAAATCATTCCTGATAGCTCCCTCTACTGCATCTCCTACTTTCAATCCATCTTTAAGTCCTAAGTTCTACTGCCAAATTTTACCTAATATCAGTCTGTTTCTCTCCATGTTCACCATCATCTTCCTGGCCCAAGCCATTATCCTCTCTTGCCTGCACTACACAACAGCCTCCTAACAGATACACACATTTCCATTCTTCCCATCTCCCTCACTCCCATTCACTCTTCACGCAGTAGCCAAGGTCTTATAAAAATACAATTACAGGCCATTCTACCACCCAAAGCCCTTCAAAGGTTTCCCACAGCATTTAGAATAAAATTCAAACTACTTAAAATGGCCTAGGAAGCCTGGCCTGATCTGGCCCCTATGGCCTAGTATCCCCTCTGCCTGGTATACTCTTTGCCCCAACTCTGCTCTTTAGTTTCTTCTCATCCTTTAGGTTGCAGTCTAAATGTTATCCCCTTAGAGGTTCCCCACAATCTAAATTATATCCCTTTTATTATGTCTCTAAATTTTCAATTTTTTTCCTGCAGCACTATGTTGTTTAACTATATATTTCTTTTTTACTTGTTTATTGACTATTTCCCCTATTAGTCTGTCCATGAGGGAGTGATGCATGTCTTTTTCGTTCACTACTCAAGGCCCGGCCCAGTCAGTGACTGGCATATCATCAGCTTCCAATAAACTTCAATCCATTTCTAGTTACTGTATAATTTGAAAGTAACAAATACGGTGTATCTTTTAAAAGAATCTACAATTTATTCTACCTATTAAGGTATGTTGTAGCTGTTTGCCCTTAAGGCAATTCCAACTCATAGTGACCCTATATGACAGAGTAGAACTGCCCCATAGGGTTTCGAGGCTGAAATCTTTAAGGGAGCAGATCGCCAGGTCTTTTCTCCCACAGAGTGGCTGGTGAGTTCAAACACCTGATCTTTCAGTTAGCAGCCGAGCACTATGCAGTTATACTCATAATTTTGCAATACTGATTTTTAAAAGTTTAAACAACTAGGAATGTGTGGCTAACTGCCTCTATGAACAACTGCCACCTTTGTCATGAGACCAGAAGGACTGGATGGTTACCATTACTGAACATCTTGATCAAGGATTCTACAGAAGAATCCTGATCAAAAGGGGGAAAATGCAGAGCAGAATTTCAAATTCTCAAGGACGCCAGACTTTCTGGAGCCATGGAGGCTGGATGAACCCCTGAAACTATTGCCCTGAGATAATCTTTAAAATTTAAGCCAAAAATATCTCCTGAAGTCTTCTTAAAACCAAACAATTGTTTAGCTTAACTAGTAAAAAACGTCTGCCTTGAGCCTTATGGTCTTTTAAGAACTATCTATATGGGATCAAAATTGACAACAGCAACTCAAAAGATTAGATAGAAACCTTAGGAGACAGTGTGTTTACGGCAATGATGGAGGAATAACTCAGAAAAGGAGGGTGAGAATTCTTGCACGCCTCAAAGAATATAATCGATGTTACTGAAGTGTACATGTAGAAACTGGTGAACTGGTATATGTTTTGCTGTGTATGTTCTCAACAACAACAATAAACAAAATTTTTTTTTAAAGTTTAAACAACTAAAAACTCTTACATACTTAAAAACTAAAATGTCAACACATTTCCTTTTCTGAATTTTCCCCCTATGCAACTACACCATGATTTTTAGCTGCTTATTTTGTTACAATGCAGTTTGGTATTTCTGAGCGTCACTTCCATCTTTCCGTACACCGTATTTTATATCATTTACTTTTTTGCTGCTTGTTTTTGATAATGTTCATGCTATAGTAATGATGTCCTAACCTACGTCCTAGAATCTTAAAGGTGAGGGCACTTAAGTAAATTAGAAATACACCAGAAAGGAACTTCTCTGGATAAAGCATCAGCTTTCATAATATAGTAGACCAGATAAATGCTTTTACATAAATCGCAAATAAGTAATTTATTTTTACACACTTTATAAAATGCTAATAGGATGTCATCATGAATGGAAGGAAAATGTAATTGGGAAATGCTAGAAACTGTATTTGACCCTGAAATTTATTATTCCATAATTAATTAAGCAGCAGTAATTTAAAAACTGTTTTCTATGAATATAAAGGGAAAAATATTTCATTTTTGCATTTCCTCTTAGCTTTGCTGTTTTGTTTTTACATACTTTTTTTAGTTGTATAGCTTCTTCCAGTTGTTTATATTCTTTGGTAGCTCTTAAAATTTGTTGTTCTGCCTTTTCTATTTCATCATGCAGTTCTGATAGTCGAGTCTGTGCTATAATTTAAAATACATGCACACATACACACACAAGAAAAACACTGAATTCAGAAATTTCTACCATACAGATGTTTTTCTTTGCAATCACCTCACAACTAATTCCCCCATTATTGATCACAGTAATAAAAAAAGTAATTTTTATGATGGTTTTTCATCTCCATTAGTTAATCTCTAGAATACATTGTTTCATATGTTATAGTACTGTAATTGAGCCTCTATTTATAAAATTCTTAACATAAAATGGCCTTTACTCAATATTCCCAACACTAGAGAACCCTTTTGAAAGAAAAAGGATTTTATTGGTAAATATGCACATACAAAATAAAAAAAAAGTAAATATGCACATACAGGTCACTAAGTCATAATTAGATTCAGGGTATATATTAAAAAGAAAGCTTGAGGCAAATGCTTTATTATTGGGTTCAAAATCAAGAAATTCACTACTATATAATCTCTTCCAGCTGTAGGTGCTCTCAAATCAATTACTACCTCAAATTTCAGATTTATCTCACTCCCTTTCTCCTTCCCTGCCTCCTAAAAAACTATAAGCCCCGTGAAGCTAGTCTGCACATATATTATCTATTTTTGCTTTCCCTTTCCAGAGCCTTGGAATAGTATGTGTAGACAAGGAGAACTGAGCCTCTCCTCTCCCATCTCCAAGTCAATCTCCACTGGCCTTTCATGTCCGTTACTTAGCTACCCATCAAGGGAAGGTAAGTTGCTAATCTGACTAGTCAGTGAGCCATAATTACTAGTTGGGTACATGCACTCAGGTCTGCATTCTCCTCCTTTCATATTCATGCAGCTGAGCGGGTTAAGTGGATTCAAAGTTTGTCATTGACAAGGTCTCTAAAGTGCGCTCCTGGCTTGACTTCTTCCTCCATGTGACTTTGCTAGAAGATGGTAAGAGCTCTGTTTTTCCCCTTGGGCGGTGTAGGAGGAGAAACAGTGGGATGTGGAATGTGGGGAAAGTCAAGAAGAGAAGGATGCTGACCTTCAGCCTAAGCCTAAGGACAGTGTCTGGTCCAGCTTATCGCAAGTGCTGCTTTAGTCTGGGGTCTTAAAAGCCTGTGAGCAGCCATCTAAGATACTCCACTGGTCTCATCCCTTCCGGAGCAAGGGAGAATGAAGAGAACAGGATACAAGGAAAAGATTAGTCCAAAAGACTAATGAACCACAGCTACCAAGGCCCCCACCAGACTGAGTCCAATACAGCTAGATGGTGCCCGGCTACCACCACTGACTGCTCTGACCAGGATCACAACAGAGGGCTCTGGACAGAGCTGGAGAAGGACGTAGAACATAATTCTAACTCAAAAAAAAAAAGACCAGATTTACTAGCCTAAAGGAGACTGGAGAAACCCCAGGAGTATGGCCCCCAGACACCGTTTTAGCTCAGTGGTGAAGTCACTCCCAAGGTTCACCATTCAGTGGGGGACTGGGCAGCCCCATAAAACAAAACGGGACTAATGAGGCACAGCAGTCCAGGGACAAGGGCTAGAAGGCAGAAGAGGACAGGAAAGCTGGTGATAGGGAACCCAAGGTTGAGTAAGGACAGTGTTGATGCACATTGAGGTTGTTAACCACTGTCATAGGGCAACATGTGTACTGTTTGTTTAATGAGAAACTATTTTGTTCTGTAAACCTTCATCTAAAGTGAGAACAGCAGCACAACTGGAAGAGTGTAGTCTATGTCACTGAAATGTGCCTGTAGAAATTTTTGAAATGTGTATCTTTTGCTATGTATATTTTCACCAAAAAAAAAAAAGGTCGCGAATGGAGAGGGTTGACATGTTGTGGGGTTGTTAACCAATGTCATAAAACAATATGTATATTACTGTTTAATGAGAAACTACTTGTTCTGTAAACTTTCACCTGAAGTACAATAAAAACCAAAAAACCAAAAAAAAAGAAAGTCCTGCTTTAGGTTCTGGCTACATGCATAGTAATCAATAAAGTGGTACTTTACTTGCTTCAATCATTACTAACTATATCTTTGTGTATAGAGCTCCAGTGGGGAGAAGGGCTGGCTGGCAGGACAGGATTTATGCATTCTTGGATCCCCTGAACATGATGGCTATCAATTTACTGTCAAAAACCAATCTTCAACTCTAACAGGAATCATTAAAAAATAACTTTCTAGATGAATCAATACTTTCTTTTAGACGTTCATGTAAAACAACAATGAATACCATAAACACATTTAAGTGATTAAAAGAATTGTGAAACATTTACCTACATACTCATCAATCTTTTTGTATTTTTAAAGAATTTACAATAACTTTTTTTAACCTGCACTTATTTTTTCTTTGTCTTCCAGTTGTATGTCCAGTGGCACTTGGGTTTTCAAGTTAACTTGCTCATTTCTAAGTTGTTCCCCTTCATCTGGCTCCATTTTCCTGATCTGTACTGGCTGGGAGTTATCAATAATGTGACTCTCTGTGGTGAACATATTTCTCTTGTATCTGGATTTGCCAATGTAAGGGCTTTCATCTGGGGCTTTGTCAATTTCAACATACTAAAAGCAAAAGAAATCAACAGATTTATGGTATAATAAATAACTTCAAGTCAATCAAATGGTATTAATCATTTTAATAGTGGAAAACAGCACAGAATTGCCTGAATCTATAGTCAATCCTACATGCTTAGAAATTGAAAAATATATATCACTTTTTTCTTATTGTTAATACATCAAAAAAAGAACTAGAGCTGAAAATGGTCTCAAAAAGAACCCTTCTACCCCAAAAGAGTGAAAGAGTTTGGACTGATTGATTAAAGAACTGTCCACAATGATATGATTCTGAGCACTGCTTAATCTCTAAAAACAGAAATCTAGTTGTTTCATTTTGGTTTCTTGGCTGACACAGGTAAAATCTGAGTCTAATAAATTTTAATAACTGGATTTTTAAATTAAATAATGTAGGATAACAACTAGCATCATGGGTCTTAGAAGTGGTTCCCTTGTTGCAATAGCATTTATGGCATTTGTACCAATAATGGTTGATTAATATTAAACCCAATGATTACTGAAACAACAACGAAGGGAGATGACTATTCTACGGCAACTGAAGCAGGCAGTGTACTTTTTCCAGAAGTTTGGACTTAAGGGAACTGCTCCACTCACATTCTCGAGCATGGTAACTGAGGGTTAGACAGCCTTGGGATATGACTGTGACAAAGATCCTCCTGGGGCTTTTTACCTCATTAGGATACTGATCTAGCTCACTGAGCTAAATAATTCACAGATTCAACCAAAATACAGTTTATTCTTTTGATGCTCTCGTAATAAGAAATGCCTCTACCCACCCCTCCCATGCTGGCTTGAACTTGGGATTGCTAAAACATTAAAACAACTCACCTCTGATGGATAATAAGTTAGTGGCTCAAATTTAGCATCAATTTTATAAAAGGCCAATTCCTGTTCCAGCTCATACTGTTTCTGACAAGCTCGCGTTAGTTCCACGGTCTTCTGTTTTAGCTATTGGCCCGATTTGATATGAGACAACATATAGTGTCAGCAAGTTAGTGTAAAGGTGCAACAATATGGCAGGTTCTAGTCACAACTAATAATTACATTTTTAAAAACCCCACAGCAAACAGCACAACATTCAGAACATTTTATCTTAATTTTAAATTATTACAAATAATGAAACATAAACTTATCACTTCATAAGAGATCACATAAGAGACCTTTGAAGTTTATATACAATTTCAGGTTGCAATAAATATTTTTAAATCACTCTTTCTTTATCCAAATATGAAAATAACTCTATATCAATTATTTCTAAGTAAACTGGCCTTTTAAGTACCTGCTTCCTGATTTCCCAATAAATAGCACTAATTTATTTACTGTACGATGTGATTTTTAAAAATTGCTTCAAATCATGGAGAGAACTAGATTTTGACATTAACTACAAAGCAATTACGTAGTGAGAAGGAGGAAAAAAAGAACCTGGTTTTAATTGTTGCATTTGTGGCTAATGGCATCACAGGTTTTAAGTGTTCAAAACATTATTCTTTGTAGAGGGTAAGGAATGTGAATAAGCTCAATCAGATCAAAATATGTAATACTAAATTTTTAAAAAGTAATTCTGTAACTTTGTAGTTATTCTTAGCAGTTTTTAGAGCTGGGAGAACACAAGAAATCATCCAATCTAATTCTGTGAATTTATAAATGAAGAAATTGAGTTCCAGATTGGTGAAGTAACTTGTCAAAAGTTACATATTAGATTAGTGATACAGGCTAAATACTTTACGAACTATCTGTACCAGTCCCCATTCTACTATATCATTCCTTTGAATTCATTTCAAAGGTCCACAAAGTGATTTATGCTCCCCCCTCCCCTGTATGGCGCCCTGTCTGATAGTAGATACCAAAGAACATGCACAAAAAATTCATTAATATAAAAATACAAGCTCAAGAGAACAAAATATAAACAAATATGTACATTTCACAACACCCAGGAAATTAAAGTCGTGCATGATTTAGCTTACAGTCACCTCTGGATTATCTGTCAAAACGGAAGTAATGCTAGCCTGAATAACAGGCAATACTGATTGAGTACTCACTGTGTGCCAAATACTGGGCTAAGCATCTTACATGTGCTATCTCACTGAATCACAACTACCCTACGAGATAATGAAAGCTGCACAGAGACGTTAAATAACTTGCCCAATCACATAGCTCGTGGTGAAAGAGAAAGAGTTTAATTCCAAGTCTCTTGATTTCAAATTCAACACTCTATTTTATCATGCTGCCTTCAGTGTCCTGCTACAGGGTATCTAGCACATTACCTGCTCACATTAAGCTTTCACTGAATGCTCACACATCCCTGAGTCTCAAAAAAAGCAACTCATAGCCAACAGCATCAACTAATGCTGGACTTCTTACTCCAAAGCTCACTGGCAGTAAAGCCAAATGGTGTACGTGACCAGAACCATGGATAATGCAGGCAATTAATCATAAATACTCTGTGCTTCTGAAAGTACTTTTGTGTCCTTTATAGCACTAGGTTTAGCATATAATAAGCACTCAATAAAGGTCCACCGCAGAAATGCACGACCAATATAGGAATCAGAAGACATGGAAAGTAGGCTGGTTACTGCATTACCCTGGATAATCATGAGTTGACTGCAGTTAACATATTAACCAATAGGAAAAATAATATAAATTCTTTCCCCCACATCTAAATTCACTCTCATATGTACACAACCATTACAAACACACACACACACACACACACACACACACACACACCACATTTCCCCCAAAGGCAAGCCAACTTCAAAAATAAAAAGGTAAACAAGCATATTAATACATGTTATCATGCAAACCATGAACAATATAGTATGCAGTCCAGCCCTGAAGAAACTACCTTTAAGGAAGGATAAAGAATCAGCAGAAAAGGGCCTGCAAGAAACCAAGGCTAAAAAAGGAGAAGAATCAAACAGAGAGCATCAGCTGGAGAACTCTAGAGAGTTAAGCTGTAATAATACAAGCTGCTACATTCTATTTTCTGACAACTTACCTTAGGAAGATCTATTTATTAGTATTTGCATTACTCTTACATGGACAGATTTAATCATCACTCTAATTAGGAGTTAGATTTGCTACCTTTCATTACTTAATTGATTCATTTCAAATTATTTTCACATTCATTACCTCATTAAATCCTCACAAGTCTGTGAGGCAGGCAGGATAGGTAAATTATCCTCATTTTAAAAATGAGGAAACTGAAAGATAGGAGTTAAATCACTTGCAAAAGAACAAAGAGTAAGTTCAGTTAGTATTTGTTGGTGACAATACAGGGACTACTATGGTTTAAACTGTCACCAGAAATCTTACTTCAGTGTTACTAATTTTCTTTATATATACATAGATATATGCGTGTACACACACACACACACACACACACACACACACACACACGTATTTCATAAATTAAATGACCTAAGAAAACTGGAAAGCACAACTATAGATGATATCATCAGATATTCTGCATACAATAATAGAAAACATTTTTCAAATGCAAACTCTTAAAATAAGACTCAGAATCCTTTCGTAACATACAGCAGTCCTTTGGACTAAAAAAAAGGGTATGAAATGGCAATTTAAAGAACAAATATGAAATAGCCAACAAATGCACACACAATACTCAATTCTCTAACAACTAAAGAAATGCAAAATTAAAACAGTAACAAGATTCCATTTTTTTCTCTCATATTACAAGCTCATATCAATATCCAGTGTGGAACTCACTGCTGTAGGAGTATAAATTGGTTATAAGCTTTTAGAAGCATGCATTAACATTTATCAAAATTTTAAATGCAGATTACGCAGTAATTCCACTTGTAGTCATTTACGGTAAAGGATTACTAGCACGAATATATAAGGCTACACACACACACACACACACACACACACACACACACACACACACACATATCAAGACTTTCTCTGTTATCACTGTCCCTAATAGCAAAAAAAAAAAAATGGAGGCAACCTAAACATCCATGAATAGGAGTACACTAAATTTACAGAGGACCCATATAATGGGAACACTATATAGACTTTTAAAAGAATGAAGAATATACATATATATTTTTTTAACTTTGAGAGCTGTTCATGATATACTGTTACGTGAATATTAAGCTGCAGACTTACACAGTTAAGATTCCATTTTGTTTTTTAAAATCATAAACATTCAAGTGTATATTTGTCTTTAATTTTATATATTTATATATATACATATATAAACTTACATATATATAGTTACATAATTACATATACAATGTATAAGCATAGAAAACAAGAACGATATGTATTAACACCCAAGGAATGGGGTAGGGAAAAGTGGAACCTTCATTTTCTACTGTTTACATTTGTGTTATCTGAATTTGTTACAATAAACATATTAATTTTGCATACAAAAGTATGCTGAAATGATTAATGATAAAAAATAAATAACATAGAGAAGAGCACAACCTGACCTCTATACAAAGAGTTACAGGAAAAAAAAAACAGCAAAAACTACTGACAATTTACAAAACACTTATTCACAGCACAAACATACTAACAACATTATTAAAAAAAAAGTAGGCAACTCGAACTGTATAATTTTGGAATAACACAAAGTCATAAGACGTGACATTTTGTCCAGGTTTTCAATAGGTTGAAAATGGGCTGACTCTGTATGTCAGGGGGTCAGCGTATGGAAATTATACAGTTATTTAACCTTAGTAGTAAAAGATGGATCTATATTCCAAAAAGATCTATAACTCTAGAAAGTGTATTAAATGTTGACAAATGTCAAATAATACCACAGTAACTACTGCTCTTTATTTTTGTATTTTAAACACAAATTTATGTGATGGGCATGAAGAGTTCACTAAACCAAAAAACCAAACCCATTGCCTCTGAGTTGATTCCGACTCACAGCAAGCCTGTAAGACAGAGCAGAATTGCCCCATGGGGTTTCCAAAGAGCGGCTGGTGGATTCAAACTTAACTACTGTGCCACCAGGGCTCTGAGAGGAGTTCACTATTAAAATAAAATCGATTGTCATGTTGGTCTACCATGGTTTAATTACTCATCTATCCTCTCAATTTTTTATTAATGGAGAGCAACAGAAGTACATATAATTTAAAACCATGATAATCACCAGATTATTAATACTATTAACATATGCCTTCAGAATACAACTAGCAAATTTGAAAACTACCTTCAAGTAAGTGACACATGCAGGAACCCACAAAACTCTTAATATATAAATAACAGAGCTGGGGAAGCTGTCCTATTTTTTCATTATGCCCCCTTGGTATAAATGAGCTTTTCTTTCAGGCAAAGAAGAGCTTGAGAAGGAGGTAGTTAAGTATTGATATTTCAAGTAACAACTTCCCTTCTAAGCTGCAGGCCCACACACAAAGAAGAATGCATAGATGGAATTCTTCTTGTCAACAAAGCAAGTAATTAAGCAAGACTGACAATCTTGAAAGGGAAACACAAAAGGAGATAACTATATCTAGGATTCTATTAGTCATAAGCGAAGTATGATTCTCTAAGTTATGTGTAGATTAAACTAAGAAACTGCCCAAAGAAAAGAAGGGGCACCAACAGCTATTTTTCCTTCAGGGAAGTAGTCTAATAATTTTACAGATTCAGATTCTCTGGACTTAAACTACTTTTTAAGGTCATTTAATCCATTTTCCTGTCTAATAATCTTGAGCTTTCCCCTCAAATCTTGAGCATATGGCCAGCTTGTTCTGCCTTTTTCAGTGATAGCAAAAACATTCCAGAGTTACCACATTTTATCTCAGGGCAGCTATTAGAAATTTCTTCATCATTCCTAAATGAAAACTGGTTTTCCTATAACTCTATTTACCAGTTCTTAATTCTAGCTCATAGGACCTTAGTAAATAATTCTAGTGCCTCTTCCATGAAACAGTCCTTTGAATATCTGAAGGCAGTTGTCAGAGCTCACTGGGTATCCTTTTCTCCAGCCTGGACATCCTCTGTTCCTTTGGTCACTGCTCATACGACACGGTCTTAAGACCTTTGAAGCCTCTGGGTCAGTAACTTTTTGAACACATTCTATTTTTTAATACCTTTTTTTCCTGTTTCAACCATAAAGCCAAATTACACAAAATTAAAACATTACAGATATGCATAAAGGGCAATTTGAAAGTGCTCTATATGTACTCCTCAGAAATAACTACTGTCAAGAGTTTGGTGCATATTCTGCCATTTTCCCCTATACATACTTTTGTATTTTGATATATAGGATTATACTCAACATACTGTTTTGCCACTTGCTTTTTTCACATAGCAATATGTATTATACACCCTTCCACATCAGGACACACAGCTCTATTTCATTTTATTATGCTACCACATGGATGTCCTCTAAGTTTCCCACTTACAGATTAGTTATTTCTTTTTTTTTTTTTGCTAATAGAAACAATGTTGTAGTGAATATCTTTGTGTAAGTATATATGTATCTGCATATAAATATGTGTGTGTGTTAACTTTATACATTCTTGCTACCATCTCTACAGAAAATGTTATTAGAAATGGAATCTCTGAGATATAGGATATGTCTGTTTAAGATTTGGATAATTTTGCCAAATTACCTTCTAAAAGTTTTTGCCAATGTTCACTCTTACCAAGAATGTTGTTGCTTTAAAGAAATACAAACATCTAGGGGCAGTTTGATCAGCTCCCCATAGAGCGGAGCTTCATCCTTCTCCTTTGTTCTGAACACAATACTTCACATAATGCAGCCCAAACCAGCATTTTTGGGCAGCCATATCATACAGTACACAGTCTATAACTTGTAAAAACTTTTGCATAAATTTCGATTAAACCACATCTTCCTCATTCAGTGATCAGGAAGTTATATTTTCAGACCTAAGGGCAAAGAATTCTCTATCTTAATATTGCCAAGGGAATGCAAAATATGGACTTACCAATTCATTCTTTGTGTTTAGGTCACTTTCTAGCTCCTCATAGCTCTGTTTCTGCAGCAAGGCCTCCTCTTTTAATGATTTGTTCAGTTTATCTTGATTTTTAATTTCCTCAAGGAACCTTGTTTGTTTGCTCTTCAGCTCTTCAGTTTCCATCACCTTCTTTTCCAAGTCTCTTTCTAGTCTTTCTACCTCTTCTGCCAATAAAAATTTAATAGTTTATTTACCATTATCTTTCCTAGTTAAAGAGAGATAAAAATGTTTCTCAAATAAAACAAAAGCAAAAGAAGTCTAAGAATAGTGTAAATACAATTCTACTTTAAAAATTAGCCAGTAGAGTCTTAGGAAAAAAGAATATCTTGATCTTGAAATTGATTTATATTGAGAGGTAAGAAGGCATTATCATTTGTATTAAATTTTTAAAAATAACACTCTATTTCATGTATTTAATTCAATTAGTGTCAATAAGATGAAGTTTTTCAAGGTTCCTTCTAAAAAATTGGCAATATTTTACTTGATATTAGTAATTACCCTTAAAAGGTATGCTGCAATGTGTTTGTAAAACACTGTTACCTTAAAATCTTTCAGACTTCCCACTGCTCTCAGGATAAGATCCAAAAACTTAAAGGAAGTGCTGACTAGACTCTTCATTATCTGGTCCTAACCTCCCTGTCTAGCCTCATCTTCAAGGACACTCCCCTACAGCCTTTTTGAAATGATTCCAGGTCTTCAGGTTTGTGATGCCTTTTCTCACCTGCAGAGTTTTATTCATGCCCTCTGTCTGAGCTTACTGAGCTAACTATTTTGCATCTTCTAGGTCTCTGTTTAAAAAAAACAAGAAGCCTGCCTTCACCCTACCCCCTCTTAGGTTAGATGCTTCTCAGGAATGCTTCCACACCACCCTGTACTTTTGTGGCCCTTATCTTGGGGAGTTGTTAATGTGATCAAGTAGCTTGGCTGTCTGCTTTCCCCACTAAAGCTTCATGAAAGCAGAAACTGCATCCATCTGTCTCACCACTGGATCCCAAGAGCCCAGAACATTAAAGGCTCCTAATTAATATCTGAAGTACTAATAAATGACCCATAAGCAGTTTAAACATTTTCTCCAATAGTATATTTATATTATGACATTCCTTTGCATTATTTGTCTTTTTAATGATTCTGAAACATAAACTTCAGGTTAACAAATGTTGGGTTAAAACCCAAACCCACGCCCATCAAGTCGATTTTGACTCATAGTGACCCTACAGGACAGAGTAGAACTGACCCCTAAGGTTTCCAAGGAGCGGCTGGTGGATTTGAACTGCCAACCTTTTGATTAGCAGCCATAGCTCTTAACCACTGTGCCACCAGGGCTCCATTGTTAGGTCCTAGGGAGTGAAATTCTGGGAGGAAATTCTAAATCTTCACCCAATGTCTCCCACCATTCACTCTTCAATCCATTATAATCTGGCCTTAAACTGTTCCTGTCAAGATCATCATCATATGTTGCTAATCTAAAGCACACTTTTCTGTGTTTATCTTACTTCATGTCTTGGCAACTCTGAACATGGTTGACTACTTCCTCTATTGAAATCTTTCCTTTTCTGAGCTTTCACAACTCACTATTTCCTGTTTTCTCCCACCTTGCTGGTCTCTTCTTCTCAGTCTCCTTATTTAGCTCCTCCTCTTCCTCCTCCCAACTCTTGTCTAACTGAGTTAATCAATTCCCAGTGAATTAAATATCATGTTTATGATGATGACTCTCAAATTTATATCTCTAGTTCAGAGCTCTTGTCTTGTTCATTAACAACATATCAAACAAATAATTCACCATGATCAAGTGGGATTCATACCAGGTATGCAGGGAGGGTTCAACATTAGAAAAACAATCAATGTAATCCATCACATAAATAAGACAAAAGACAAGAACCACAGGATCTTATCAATTGATGCCAAAAGGCATTTGACAAAGTCCAACACCCATTAATGACAAAAACTCTCAGCAAAATACGAATAGAAGGGAAATTCCTCAACATAATTATGGGCATTTATACAAAGCCAATAGCCAAGATCATCCTAAATGGAGAGAGTCTGAAAGCATTCCCCCTGAGAACGGGAACCAGACAAGGATGTCCTTTATCACCACTCTTATTCAACACTGTGCTGGAGGTCCTAGCCAGAGAAATTAGGCTACAAAAAGAAATAAAGGGCATTCAGACTGGTAAAGAAGAAGGAACAGTATCTCTATTTGCAGATGATATGATCTTACACACAGAAAACCCCAAAGAATCCATAAGAAAGCTACTGGAACTAACAGAAGATTTCAGCAAAGTATCAGGATACAAGATAAACACACAAAAATCAGCTGGATTCCTCTACATCAACAAAGAGAACTTCGAAGAGGAAAAAATCAAATCAATACCATTTACAACAGCCGCCAAGAAGATAAAATACTTAGGAATAAATCTAACCAGAGACATAAAAGACCTATACAATGAAAACTACAAGACACTACTGCAAGAAACCAAAA